TTGTGTCTAGTAAGGCATTCCAAACTCCTTCCTCTTTCCCCTCTGTGTGGCAACTGAGGAACAGAAAACTGGCTACTTCAGGTTCAGTTCAAAGTTGACAGTCGGCTCTCCCCCTAGTGAGTGAGAAGTATCTGGAAAATATCAAGTACAGACAGGTTACACTTTCACTAGCCACTCCTGCCATCCCCAGCTGTCCTTTTGGCTTTTGTGGATCTTATCTGCTCTTACGTTCTGACTCTTCAATCAAGTGGCTTTAGAGAGGGGGAACCCTTTCACTGTACTAAGTACTGTAGCCTCTCTTTATACAACCTAGAGTCTAGGATTCTTTTTACTCCATAATGGGTTTCTCCTTGAATTATGATGGGGCCAACAACTACTTGAGCTACTAGCCTTAGCTCCGAACCTATTACTGGCTTCCATAAACCGCTGTAGAAGACTGGATGTATTTTTCCAACAGGCGTGGGAGTTTCAGCTCCACCGTGATTGAGTTAATGATCTTTACAATGGAAAAAGGTCCTATAAACTTAGGAACCAGCTTTGTACAGGGCAATTTCAATTTTAGATATTTTGTAGAGAGGTAAGCTTTCTCCCCTGTGTGAAATGGCCTCTGGAGGGAATTGCTTTTTGTTTGCCTATTCTTTTTGCATCTCTGTGGCTTTTGTTAATATCTGTTTTAGATTTCCCCAGGCCTCCTGTAGGGAGTCTACCCATTCAGTCAGGCTCTTGAGGGTACTCAGGCATGGAGACGAACTCCACCCCTTAAAAGGTGTAAAGCCCATGCTGCTATGCACAGTGTTGTTCTATGCCATCTCAGTGAAAAGCAAGTGGTCAGCCCAATTGGTTTGTTGGTAATTGACATACACCTGAAGTACCGCTCTATCATTGTGTTAGTTCGTTCTGCCGCCCCATTGGTACTTGGATGAAAAGCCGAACTAAACCTCTGGGAAGACCCAGTTAACTTTATGAACTCCCTCCAGAATTTGGCTGTTAACTGGACCTCCTGATCAGATATGATTCTCTTTGGGACTCCATGCAATCAGTAAATGTACTTTAGGAACAGCTTCACCAGTTTGTGACTGAAGGAAGGCTGGAACAGGCAATGAAGTGAGCCTGTTTGAAAAAAAGATCATCCACTCTCCAAATTGTTTCCCCCGTTTTCTGGGAGTTCCACGATAAAGTCCATTGCTGTTTCCTCCCAAGGTCATGATGGCTCGGCTACTTGTAACAGTCCCAGGGGTTTTCCAAGTCTTTTTTTTTTCTTCGCTGCACATATCGCACAGCTCTTTACATAGCTTTTGATGTCCTTTTTCATTGCTGGCCACCAAAATTGTCTATGTGCCAAATGCCATGTCTTTAGAAATCCAAAGTGACCAGCTTGCTTGGTGTCGTGGCTTCTTTGCAGAATTTCAACCCAGAGGATGCTGGGGATGTATAATTTCCATGCCAACCCATCCCAGGAAGTTAGGAGTTGTTTGTTGTCCTTTAATCAGGAGTCAGTTTGTATCTCAACTCTTGAGTTTCTGGGTTACTTGTCTGCTCCCCGCTGGTTCACTCAATCGACTCCTAGTCTGTTGCCTCATGGTAACTTGTGCTGCTTTCTGAGGGAGGGGAATAATAGTATTGACCACTTCTTTGCGCTTGCTTTTGTTCTGGGGCATTTGGGACAGTGCATCCGCTAGAAAATTCTTCCTTGAGGGACGTATTTTAGTGTGAAGTCAACCAGTTAAAGTACTGCACCAATCAAACTTGTTTGGGAGAGAGTTTCTGAGGGGTCCTAGGACTTCCAGATTTTTATGATCAGTCCATACTTCAAATGGCACTGGTCTCCCTTTTAGGAAGTGCCACCAGGTTAATAAGTGCCCATCAGACCACACTGCCTATATTTGTTCGGGGTTGGGGAGTTTTCTGGAGTTATAGATGCATGGTTGAAGGTTCCCCTCTTTGTTCCTCTAGAGAAGGACAGCCCCAGATCCAAAGTTTATGTAGCTACATGTGTTGGAACAAATATTGTCTGATACATTTTTTTTTTAATTTATCAAACTTTTATGCCACTCATCTCATTGAAGGCAACTCTAGGTAGGTTACAGAAAGTACGGAATAAAGCATTAAAACAATAAAAAAGTTAAAATTCAATTGAAATAAAGCTAAGCAGGATGGAGAGGGAGTGAGCAAAATGTGTACAGGAGGAGATGGGGTATTGTCTACTCTGTTAGCTACCTCCGACATGCCAGGCCCCCATTGGGATCCCAGATTTGTTGACATAGCTGTTTCTTCAAGGCCTTTTGGAAGACCAAAAGGGTGGGAGTGGATCTAATCTCAGGAGGAAAAAAGTTCCAAAGGGCTGGAGCCATAACAAAAAAGGCTCTTCTTCTGGACCCACCAGCCAAAATTCCTTGGCTTAAGGGGTCTGCAGCACAACCAGCATAGATGGAGTGGGATAATCCCATTAAGGTGATTTGGTTTCTCAGGTAGCCTGGACCCATGCTAAGAAGGGCTTTTAAAGTGATAACCAACATCTGGAATTGAACCCAGAAGCAAACAGGCAGCCAGTGCAGCTCGTGGTGTTGTGCCACTCTAGGTGCCCCAAGAACTCTTCACACAGCTGCCCTCTGCACCAACTGAAGCTTCTGGATTCTCTTCAAGGGTAGCTCCATGTAGAGTGTATTGAGATGAGTAGGGCTTGAGTGACTGACCACAGGGACTTCCAATTTAGAAAAGGATGCAACTGGCGCACAACACAAAGTTGTACAAAGAGTCTTAGCCACGACTGCCACCTGTTCATCAAGCAGGAGTTCAGAAGAACCCCCAGATTACACATCAGGTCTGTCTGGGGTAGTGCAACCCGAATAAGAATTAAAGATGTTAAAGTCCCAGAGTCAGAAGCGCCAGGCACCCAAAGCCACTTGGTCTTACCAGTATTCAAGCAAAGTTTGTTGTCCCACATTCAGACCACCACAACTTCCAGGCACTGCGAGAGGGCACCAACAGCATCACTTGGATCACTTGGAGATGTAAAGCTGAGAATCATCAGCACAGTGGTGGTACCTCACCTCATGGTGACAAATGATACCACGTAGGGGCTTCAAGTAGATGTTAAAAAGGACAGAGTACTGAGCTCTGCACCCCACAAATGACTGTGGACTAAACCTCTCAATCCCTATTAACATCAATTGGGATTGGCCTTGGAGAAAGGAACTGAACCATTGCTAGACTGCTACCCAGCCCCAAACTAAGCAGCTGTACTAAATAATTATTGTATCAAAAGCTGCTGAGAGACCAAGGAGAACAAGAATAGATACACTCTCCCCATCCCATTCTCACCAGAAGAAGAGTCATCCACAAATGCAACCAATGCTGTTTCTATCCCATAACCAGACCCGAAACCTGACGATCTGTTTCATCCAGGACTCTCTGAAACTGCCAACAACCACCTTGTCTACCATCTTCCCTAGAAAGGGAAGGTAGGAGACTGGGTGAAAGTTGTCCAGATTGGTGGGATCAAGAGATGGTTATTTAAGGAGGGACAAACCAGAGCCTCCTTAAAAGGTTCTGACAGTTCCCTTCTGCAGTGAAGAATGTATCACTACCTGAACACACCTGACTGTCACCATTTTGGAGACTTTCACCAAACAGGAGGGACATGGATCTAATTGATAGATGGCTCACTGACAGCATTGAAATCCCTATCCACTTCATGTCCAACAAAATTCAATTGTTCCCAGTTAATCGGGTAAGACCGGCATCTGAAATGCCCTATGCATGGGCTCCAACTGGGAACAAATCCAAATGACTTTGTCCAGGTGTTTCATAAATTTCTCTTCAGGGCCCTGAATATTATCACCTAAACCCTCCTGTCCCTAGGGGGACTGTGTGATTCTGAACAGGGCCACTGGGCAACACTGTGCAGACACAATAAGGGCAGAGAAATCAGGATCTTTCAGTACTCTTACAAGCCACAAGATAGGCCTAATAGCAGCTCTAAGTTGTATCAATTGGATTCATCCCTCATTTTGCTCCAGTGGCCCTCTAAACATCTCTTGGCTCTTTTCAGAATTCACAGCTCCTCCATAAACCAGGGGGAGTGTCAGAAGTGATGGGTCAAGATAGGCCACACAGGCGTGATCCTGTCCAAAGCCTTGGCTGCCCTTTGGTTCCGGAGATAACCAGAACTTCTGTGCAGTAATTCCCCAGGATATTTCCCAGTTCTCTCTGGAGCTCATTTGGGTCCATCAGTTGATGGGTCCAGCCTCCCTGCATAATAGAATTTCAAGAACACCAGGGCGTGATCCCACCATGCTGGGATATAACATTAGATTCCCCACCCAATCATGTTGCCCTAGCTCTAATTAGATCATATCTGGTGTGAAACCACTGTCATGATGATCTAGGATAGGCCCATAGCCAACATGGTGACCATGAACTCCTGGGCCACTTAAAAGGCCCAACCCAGGGATAGCAGGTTCAAGTCTCCCAGGACCATAAGTTTGGGGACCACCACCAACAACCCTGAGATGGCCTCCAGCAGCTCAGGCAAGGAGGCTGCTATGCAGCAGGGAGGTTAGTGCACTAGCAGTAATCCCAGCTGATCCCATGAGCTCATCTTCAGAAACAGTCTCACAACCAAAGACCTGAGAAGCAAGGCCCCTAAAGGCCAAGAGGGATTCTTGGATGTCCACTGCTCCCCTTAATTCCCTAGCTCTTGTAACATCGCATGCCCTTCACCATTATAACGTGATCTGCCCCAAGTCCTCATTAGGTGATCATCCCCCAACCTTATGGTTGACAGGTGGTTATGAAGTGCTAAAAAAAACCTAATCTTGACTATGTAAATATTCTCCAAAATAACACATCTTGAGTCTTCAATCATATTCAGCATCTAATACTATTGTAGGAATGGATAGATCTATACTATTAATTTTGATGACAGATTTTTAAATTACTCCCAAATCACATGCATTTTGTAATTTTAACAATGTTTTACTCTGTTCTGATTTCTCCAGGCTCTCTGACATCACTGTTTGTCAGGCTTCCATGTGGTGGCATTGGGGTAAGCATTTTTTTTCTTATTTGATCAGGTAATGCAGCAAGTCTTGATTAAACATGTTGATTAAACTGACTAAATATACAATTCTCATTTTTATTATAGAACTATACTTTTCTATATATTCAACATCTCGTTTTACAAATCAGTTCCATTTTTGTCCAGTATAATACTTCTTTATGCATACAAATGTCAAGAGCAATGGTAACTCTTTGCATGCAATGGCTTCTGGCTTAATACTTCAACAGGTTTTCCTGGATCCAGCCTATTATGAAGTACATAGCTAGCAATCCCAATATTTATGGATACCTCTTTGTTAGGAATAAAATTTTAATGAACATATCCTTGTACAACATCCAATGCTACTAATATTCTAATAGGATAGATCTAAGGTTTTTTTATTAGATGCATTACAGTTTAAGTACATGCTATATATATTTCCCTGCTGCCCTTGTGAAAGTCATGTGTGACACTAGCCACTGCATACCGATAGTGTCAGAGTTTGTACAGCTTTACTATGTGAGACAACTCAGGAGCAATAACAGCAAACAGGTTTGTAATAAATAGTTCTATCTACAAAAGAATATATACTGTACATACACGTACTATAGGCAGAGTTCAAACAAGCAGAAATTACAACAGAGAATACACACAGCGAGAGAGAACCCTAACATGGCCTCTTCTTATTATACAGGTTCTTAAAGGGATAACAGCCAAAAACCTTGCTGACTCATTCCATCACTGCATCAGCTGGTCAGCTCTTCAGGATAGTGATATCCTGACACTCCTCCCATTTAAAACTGAACAGTTGTCAATCCAAATGCTTTGATATACTCTTGATGTTTGTCTACATTTAAAGACTTGGTTAACATATCTGCTATATTATGTTCAGTGGAACATTGCTGTAATCTTATCAGTTTATCCTTTTCAGCCACCCTGACATTACAATACTTTATATCTACATGTTTACTCCTGTTTCCGTTGTATTCTCCTGTTGCCATTTTTATACATGCAACATTGTCTTCAAATACTGGTACATCTCCCTTTACATTTACATGTACATGTATATTTACATTTACATTTACATCCTTTAATAATTGCACATACATACTAGGTTATTTCAGAACATGCCTCAGACAATGCTATGAATTTGGCTTCAGCACTGAAAAGTGCTACTGAAGGCTGTTTTCTGGATCTCCATCCAATTATAGCACCGGCAAACAATATTACAAACCCTGAATTTGATTTTCTGTCCCACACATCATTTGCCCAGTCACTATCTATATAACATTGTAACAATAATTCACCAGATGGCTTATCCATAGTCCTAATTCCTGCTGCTAAAGCCAATGCTAGCTCTATGGTCTCACTTCTTATTGTTGAGGCAAACAGTCATAATGAACATTTTTTGTTTACTTAAATCTCTGTGTAACTAACCATGCCTTATACTACAGTTCATTGCTGTGTAACACCTTCTTTTTATATACCTATTTACATCCCCTGCCTTTTGTCCTTTTGATAATCTCATGGGTGTAAAAATCTGATGCACATTCATAGACTTCATTTCACTGTCCATAGCTTTCTTCAATTTGTCCTCTTCTGCCCTAGGCAACAACAAAAGCTCTTGGTAATTACAGGGTTTATATCGAACACTACATACTCTAACCCCACTTGCTGAGAACTGATCAGGACGTACACCTTCATTGCTTCTTTCAGATCTCCTCAGTATCATCTGTTCCTGCAATTTTGTGACTTCTCTTTTTATCTCAGGTTTATCCTCTTCTATATCTACTACTTCTGACCTGGTTTTGTGATTTTCCTGTATTGGGCTTTGTATAGCTTTTCCTTCAAGAGAACTAGTGCTATGCATTGGCATGAACACCTCAGAATTAGCATGTATCTTATTACAATTATTTTGTTCTGCAAAATTAGCAGATCGTGAAATTACCACCTTTCTGGTTCCATCTGTGAATCTATAACCTTTGGAACCTGGTTCATATCCAATAAACCTACATTTCCTGGCCTTTTTCTGTCCTTTTCTTCTGGTGACTTTGGGACTGTGCACCCAGGCATAACTGCCAAATGTTCTTAGGTGAGTCAGTGACGGTTTTCTTCCATATAGTAGAAAATATGGAGTTTCATTTATCGCAACACTCCATACTCTGTTTTTCAAATAATTGGCTGTTTTCAAGGCTTCTCCCCAGTACATTCTACTCATTCCTGCATCTGCAAGCAGTGAGTCTTTCATGGTTCGCATTATGCCATTTCTTCTTTCAGCCACTCTGTTTCTTCTGACAAGTACAGATTCGTACATTTATGCCTTATGTCTAAACTTCTCAGCCATCTTTGGAAACTATCAGACATGAACTCTGATACCTGTCTGTTTGTAGCTGAAATACTTTACAGCCATATCTGTGCTTTACAAGTCTTATCCATTGCTTGAACTGTTGCAATACCTCTGTCTTGCTTTTTAGCAGATAGCAAAACCCATATCTAGTCTAATCATCCACTATCACTAGGGCATACCTGGCTTCTCCTAGAGAGGGTGCCACAAGACCAATCAAGTCAGCATGTACTAACTGCAAGACTCTGCCTTGAGCTTTTCTTATTCACAGGCTGGACTTTGGACTTTCACTCTTTACAAACAGCACAATCTTAGTACATCTTGCATTTTTTTAATCTTAAGTCCCTCAGCTAGGTCTGGCATCTTCTGCAGTACTCTGAAATTTGTATGTCCCAATCTCCTGTGCAAGAAATATACATAATTGTCATGTGTGGGAGTATTTGTAAGTGTTCATGCACAACCTTTCTCTTACTTTCCTAGTATGTATAGATTATCCTGCTTAACACCTCGTGCCTGAATTCTTCCATCTTTCTTTATAGTATATTATCCTCCAGCAAACAGTATTTCATACTCCTGACTATGAAAACTTGAAATACTTAATAGATTATGGTTAATTCCGGTACATACAATACATTATCTAATGTTTCCCCTATCTCGTACATAGACTTTACCTTCCCCTTTAACAGCAGACCGTTGTCCATTAGCCAAACTGACAAATGTTTGCTTAGCTGGTCTCAGGCCAGAAAATGTTTGTGGGTCATTTGCAATATGCTGACTTGCCCCCACTGTCCAACAACCAAGTGTTTCTAGAGTTTTCAGATGATGTTGCTGCCAGGGAAAAGGATGATGGCAACAATTTTAAATAATCTGATTAGTGATACAAATATTATTTTGGAAACTATCCCAGGAAATATCTCTACATTTTGTAAAATAAGATAAAATGAACAGTTTAATTCCTCAGTATGTGAAATTACATAAAAACAAATTTATTGAGAGGTTATCTTCCACTGCTCTAGGCAAATCTATAGTCTAAAACCATAGCCCATTGAAGACCTACCAAAATGCAAGTTAAATCAATATTGGCAAGAAAAAATACCAATTAGTACAAAATGTATATACAGAACTCACTCAGAAATTCTGATTCCAAATGTTTTTCATATTTTGTCTGTCTTTATTTTGTATTGAGCAATCCTATTTACATAGGTGACTGTCTTGTCATCTCTTATCCAAATAATAAAGTTTGATCAAGTTATGTTTGAGGATGTCCATTAACCTTTTAAAGTACAAAAATAATTGCTTTATTTGCTCTAATTATAAGATATAAGCTCTAGTTCTAAGAAAAATAAATTATATACAGGATGGGTGAGCTAAAATAATTTAGAAGCCAATTCTCCCAATTTTCTTTAATTGTCCCAGTTTTCTTTTCTAATTTCTTTCCTTTGCAACTTAATGTCTAATGATGATGTTATGCTTGCATAGGACAATTGGCCTTTGTGCAGATCAAACTTTTTCATTGTTGTTATCAGGTACTAGAAAAACAAGATAGTTGTTTCCTTCTAGGAACTGTCAAAACATTAATAAACATATTATATAGCCAGTTAACAAAATACTCATAATCAAGGGGATCTATCTTCCATAACCAAAGGATCTTCTCCTACCAATATATGCAGGACTGCCACCTGATCAGAGCCATTTGTCTACATTTAGCAGTTTAATTTTGATAACAGAAATTAAAGTGAAGTATTGGGAGCTGTGTTTTAGAAGATGTATGATACGATACAGACAAGATATGTTTCTTATCAAAAATCTTATATCTGAATATGTCCCAATGAATGCATGAGGGTAACCACTTAAAGAACTCCACTTATAGTATATAAGCAGTTAATCTGTAGCTAAAGATTTTTTTAAACAAAAGTAAAAGTCTATAAAATTTTTGATGGCGGTGCTACCAACTTTTGCTTGGGGAGTAATTCACTTTCAGTTTTTATCATTATTTGCAATTATAATTATAACATTTAAGTTATGATTTAATAGTTCCAGTAGTCAGCATGCAGTACTCTGTGTAGACTAAATTGTTTCAGAAATTTACAACAGTGTCTTTACAATATTTCTGAATCCATCTTTATTCAGGTGGACAATGATACAATTTGGAATGAAGTGCATTCATTCAGTGCTGCTCGTCTTGCTGTTGGCTGTGTCATAGAACTTGTATTTAAAGTAGCTACAGGAGAACTAAAGGTTGGTCTGATATTGATAATATTTTGGCTTTCGTTTTTACATGTTAAAGTGACTGGATTACTTTTGTTTTCATGCCACATAGCAAACAACTTTTACAATATTTCCAAATTTAAAGTTTATAACAATATAAAAAAGGCAGAAATTCAGGAATTGTGACATTTGAGAACCATACCATTAAAAGTTTTGTATAATGCAATTATAGTTAGGAATACTAAAATCTCTCTGATTTTAATAATTAGTAATTTAATTTATTTATTTATTCCAGTCTTTTATAACACATATATAGCTCCTTAATCTTGGGGCTGGACTACTGTAGTATACTTTTGAAAAAAATATTAGACAATGCAGCTATTGTTATAGATGGAACAGGTCAATAGCCCCCTGTGAAACAAGGTTCCATAAGCTGCATTACTTGCCAAGATGATTCGGAATTCACTGCAAAATTTATCTAAATTTCATTATTCTAAAGAGACCTCTTCCAACTGACATTTACATACATATATGATTTTCTAGAAATCTGTTTCTCACAGTAATCACTAAGCCATGTGCATAAAGAGGATATAACAGCAAATAACATTCAGGTGCATGCCACCTCTGAATATTTAGGTTTCTCACAAAAATTAAATCAGCTTTAGTCAAGCTTACCTCCTAGTAACTTACATGAATAAACAAGAAGTCCTCAAGTTATGAAAGAAAATGGGATCGTCATTGCCATCACTAAGTCAAGCAATTATAAAGAATGATGTCACATTGTTTAGCAACAGAAATCCAGGCTGTCCTGGTTGTCATCATAATCACAAGACACTTCAGTTGTTAGCAGGAAGTAGAGAAATCTCACCCTTCAACATTTTCCTTTCAATAAAGCAAGGCTTGTCAATTTATTCCTGCTGTTCATCATATTATTGTCCATAAGAGGACTTTAAGAAAAGTCCTGTGGAAACATCATCCTGTTTTCATTCATGAGGAGGCTTGTCAAAAATTCCGATGTGTCTAAATCAGTACTATCTAGAATATAGGAAAACGTATTGTATTTAGCCTACATGTGGGTAAGCATTTGACTACATCAGCTAATGTAGTTATCACTGATTAATATAGAACTATATAGTTCAGTTATTCAGGTCCTAATCATCTCATAGTTGGACTATTGTAATATGCTCAACATGGAAGCCACAGCTGGTCCAGAGTGCAGGGCCACAGGTAGTTCCAGGGACCTGAAGAATGGCCCATGTAACAGCACTGCTCCGCAACTTGCATTGGTTGCCAGTCTGCTTCTGGGTGCAATTCAAGATGTTGCCAATCACTTTTAAAGCCCTTTCTGGGTCCAGGCTATTTGAAGGACTATCTCATCCCACTTGTGTTGGCCTGTCTCATTCATGTCCTCAGAGGAGGCATGCTGCACGCCCCATCGCCCAATTATTGTGGCTAGTGAGGTTCGGAGAAGGGCCTTTTCTGCTGTTGCTCCTGCTCTGTGGATCATTTTTCCCCTCTGGTGTGAGGTTGGCCCTAACCCACCAGATTTTTCATAAGACCTGGCTCTGCCATTTAGCTTGGGCCCCAATGGAGGAGCATCGCAATGGAGGTGGTTGGTTAACAACAGATCCCAACTTCTCCCTTGCCTCCACCCTCACATTTTTGTGGTCATGTTGCCAGCATGATATCATAGAGTGCTGTTTCTTCCCACCACACATATACATAGATACATAAACACATATACATACATATGTGTGCGCACACGGATATGTATATGTGTTTATGTATGTGTGGGAGTGAAGGTAACAGCACCCTATGACATGCTGGCAACACGACCACAAAAATATCTTTGGATAGCACTGGTGACATGGCCTTGAAATGGAGATGAGCATCGCCGCCCCCTACAGTTGACAGTGACTAGCAGAGTAAAATCCGCAGAGACTTTTTTACCTTTTACTATATACAGTATATGTGTATAGTGTATAGAGTGTGTGTGTGTGTTGTAGGCTGCCCAAAGTACCCTGTGATAAGATGGGTGGCCAATAAATGGAATAAATGATTGATTACTAAAGACCGTGTCATCCAAACTGATGGAGGGAAGGACCATAATGAGGCAGCAGTGTGTATGAAAGACTCAGCAACATGGGAGATCACAAGCTGAATCTGAGCCAATGCAGTTTCAAAAAAATAAATGAAATCCTAGGTTCCATCAACATTCATCAAGATAAGCCATTGTTCCTCTTTATTCTGTAATAGACCATATCTAAAATATTTGCAGCACCATGTTTTAAATTGACAAAGGACATTGACAACGTGAAGTAAATCCAGAGGAGGCCAATCACTTTTCTCTGATAAAACATCTTCTGCTTTCCACCTGTAGGTTTGGATTCAAGATGGTGACTATTGAAAATGTTCTTGTCAAATTTTGACAGGAGGTTTTATAGTTGTTATAGATCTAGAGAACTGTGGTCCAATTTTCATATTATTTTGTCATCAAAAGTCTCTAGTTCATCTCTAGAATGCCAAGTATAATCTTGTATGCTGAGTGAGCATTCTATTACCTTACACTGACTTGCCTTCAAACTCAATAATTAATGTCCAAAGTACTATAGAGATGCATGTGGGCAACACCTTAACAGAGAACTCAGAAAGTTGTTCTGCTTTTTCCCATAAATGATATCCATGATATCCATAATTGATCCATAACTTCATTAGAAATAAGATACAGTGCATTCTAAAGATCCTCAAGTCAAAATGTCAGTGATTTGTAAAGGTACTCCCTCTTTTTGTTCAGAGGTAACCAAGCTTTGCAGTTGTGAAATATTTCAATTGTCCAAACTGCTGTTTCTGACTATGAAGTCTCACCCTGTCTTTTCTTCCCAGAGAAGACAAGGTGAGTCTTCATAGTGCCCTGTTAGGGAGTTATATCTTCACTCATTTAAGTGTTAGGAAGTTGTATGAAAAACTGCAATTTCTTGATTTCACATTGTAATCTTTGTGTTTTGGTTTTTAAGGCAGCATTTCTGATTACTTCAACCCTGACTTCAAAACAGAGAACTTTTTGTCCAGACATTAATTTTCTTCCAGAGGCTAACTTCCATCTTAGAAATTATCACATTATCACTTCCCAGCCTTTTTAAAAAATGTCCACTGAATTCACTAAAACTGGTACTTTACTCTTTTGATATGTGACACATGCCCATTTTATATATTGAATAAAAAAAGCCTTTTGTAGTTTTTTATGGCTTTGTGTCTGCTCCAAGGTTCTCCCAGTTTGTATAACAATATTATTTTCACCATTTGCCTAGTATAGGTACAGGCAAGCTTACCTCCTTCTGGCACAATGAGGAACCAATTCAATTATGAAAGGGACAGCAAGGTCATGGATCCCTGCCTCCATTTTGCAACCTCTAGAGCATCTCTAGCTCACCCTTCTTCCATCTATATCACATTGTTGCTCTTCTTAAAGAAGATGCAGAAATAAATATTAAGGATCCAGATTTATTTAACCATTATTATATATCTGTCTATTTAGAGTGTAAACTAAAATATAATTTGTTTGAACAAGTAAAAACAAATAGCATTAGTCCAGCTAAAAAGATTAGGCTGATGGGACAATGTTGATGTCTGTGGAGGATCTAGGTCATTCAGGCCATAGTTGTCTCAAAGGTGCTTTTTTCTTCAAAAGGCAACTAGACCATTTTTTCTTTGAGGAAAAAAAATATTTTGCTTCTCATCCAAGAAGCTTCTTCAATTCTGATCGTGGGGTGATGGAAGGGTAAGTACTGACAGTTGAGACTGAGTACTTGGGGTGCGGGGAATTGGAAGGATTGTATTTCTTTGGTGTCATCTGATGATCAGCATTCTCTTGAGATCTGTTAAGACCACTTGGGGGTTTATCTGTGCCCTGAAACAGGGTGTAATTGGTTGTGGAATCTTGTTGGAACTGCATTGTAAACTGGAGATAGATGATTCAGTTTGGTGAACGGAAGCGTTCACCAAACACATCAACTCAGTGGACAAATACTTTTAAGTTCACACAGGAAGATGTTAAGGAAAGCAGTATGGCTTTCCTGGAATGTGCACTGCACGTTAAGGAAGACAGAAAGCTTAACGTTGAAGTTTATAGAAAACCCAGGCACAGAGCTCAGTATTCACATTTTGATTCTCACCGCCAACTGGATCACAAAATATGGGTGTTCAGAACCCTAAACCATTGGGATGAAAATTTGCCTACTAATAAAGAGGGAAAAGAAAAAGTACTAAAACACATCAAGGAATCCCTCTGAACCTGTGGTTATCCTAACTAGGCTTTCATCAAATAAAAAGAAAAAAAAGAAAGATCTAGGAAGAGCTTCTCCATTACAGACAAAGAAGAAAAACAAACGTAGCAACATTGTCATTCCATATGTAGCAGGTATATCTGAAAACTTCAAGGGGATTTTCAATCAACACAACATACATATATACTTTAAACCCAAGAATACACTAAGTCAGAAGCTTGTCCACCCCAAGGATAAAACGCCCAGACACAAACAACAAAGTAATATATATATAATACAATGCAGTGAAACGTGCAGATCTGTACAGTGATGAAACAAAATAACTATTTCACAAGCACATGGCACAACATAAGAGATCAAATCCACAGGACAAGATTCAGCAGTCCATCTGCATTTAAAAAACAAAGGTCGTTCTTTTGAACATAGCAAAGGCCACATTTTGTATAGACAGGACCATTGGTTTGAAAAAGGGGTAAAAGAATCATTAATGTTAGAATTGAACACTCCCCACTCAACAGAGGGGAAGGAATAAGACATCACCTATTTCCAGTTTACAATGCAGCCCTTACAGCAGTTCCAAGAAGACTCCACAACCAATTGCACCCTGCTTTAGATTAGCCTCAGGGCAAGCCTGAGCCCTCTGTGCCCTTAACAGTTCTCCTAGAGAGTGCTAACAACCAGATGACTGCAAAGAAATACAATCCTTCCATCCCACTCTCCACCATCTTATCAGTACTTATCCTTTCATTCCCCCATCATCCAATCTCAACTGAGTACCTGTCCTTCCACACACACACCCTGCCATCAGAACTGGTGAAGATTCTTGGATGAGAAATTAAATGTTTTAAGTTCTTTAAGTTTTTCTTTTTCCAAAAGAAAAAATAGTCCAGTTGCTTTTGAAGAAAAAAGCACCTTTACGACAATAATGGCAGCTTATTTCATGATCTGATGTGAATACCAGTATAGGTTCTTCCTCTGAACCAATACAAGTAATGCTCAACTTGAAGTGGTCACCTAACCTCAGTTTAAAAAGTTACAATGGATTTGGAAAAAATTACTTAACCTGTCCTCTAAGTTAAGGCTGTTGCACCAACCCCCATGTTATAGCATTTCAGGCACTTGGCAATTGCCTCACATTTATAACTGGTTACAGTGTCACAGGCCACATGATTCCATTTTGCAACATTTTTTGCCATTTTCTGGCAAAAAATGCCGTTTGGATAAGCTGGATTCAGGTTTTATAACTCTGATTCACTTAACAACCATTATAAAAATGGTTATAAAATTAAGTCTGGTCACATGATGACTCAGCTTATGACCACAGTGACTTAATGACCAAAGTTCTGGGCTCAATTGTCATAAATTGTCATAAAGACTATCTGTATCTAATATAAAAACAGAATATTTTGGAAACAATCCAATAATTTTGCGACATAAATTTTACATGCTTGAAAAATACGTGGGCTTTTAGTATCTAATTTTTCAAATTGAGTTTTTTTGTTTTTGTTTTTGGCTTCTGATAGAATGGATTTGCTGTAGTTCGACCTCCTGGTCACCATGCAGAAGAAAGTACCCCTATGTGAGTATGTGACTGTTTAGACTGGGAATTTTCACTTAGATGGGCAATGTATTGGCTGCCTGTAATCTTCCAGATCAGCCTTTGAATGTGAGGGAGTCTTTTATTTTAGCATTTGGAGAGCTTACGGTGGGGTTAAGGGCATAAACTTTGCAGAAAGTTAAAGCATCCATTTCATCCCTTCAGAAATATTCAAACAATTTTTCCAATTAGTTTGAGAAATAAAGATTTAAATAAGACACCATGAAAACTTAGCTTTGCCTTTCTGGCAGCACTTCTATGTTGACTTCTTAACTGCTGTGGTTTTTGGTTACTAAAAATAATATTTTGTAAACTGTAGCTGCCACTAAAAAGTTGTGGCTGGAAATAAGATTCTGAAAAGATTTGAACTTTCAGTCAATTAAGTGTTGTTGGGATTTAAAACAATAATTTGTCATATTGACCAAGTGTGGTTTGATGGTATTTTTAATGTATAAAATATAATTGTATAATTTAATTAATGTGTATGGACAAGAAATAGGTCTATGTATCTACATGTTGAATAGCAACAAACAAAATTGTAAAACTGTTATTACCATTGGAAGTTTTTTGAAGCTTGTATTCAGAATTTCATACTTTCATTTATAAATTCCATTTCCTTTTAGGGGTTTTTGCTATTTTAACTCGGTAGCCATTTCCGCCAAACTTCTCCAGCAGAGACTGAACGTAAACAAAATCCTTATAGTCGATTGGGTGAGTGAACAAAGTATCATTTTAAATATATTACCTTTAGGTTGAGTATCCTTCTTTGTAGCTGCCAGGCCCATTTTTACAGACTCCATTTCCAAAATCTGACCATGATACAGCCCCATGTTTTTATTTTTGCATATTGTCCTATTTACAGTTATATTGCCAGCTATCCACACCTGAAGAATAGTCACAAAATACAAAACTGACAAAATCTCAAAAAACTTTCAAGGAAAATATTAAAACTTTCAAAGAATACAATTTTTTGATGCAAAATTGCCAAGTAACAAACATGCTAATCTGGGGAATCAGAATAAAGCAACCATGTTTACTACTATTGTTTTTGTTTAGTTAGATAAGAATTTCCAATTATTCTAAAACACAAATACAGAGTTCAGCAGGTTTACATTGACACTGGGGAGCATTTCCCTTTCAGTTACAAAAGCTTTATTCTTCAGTGGAGAATAACCACTGACTAAGTTAAGTGAAAAGAAAGAAAAGGCAATATATTGAAATAGTAGGCAAACTGGTTATATCAAGTAAAAATAATGAAAACATAATACAAAATGTGGTTTATGATTTGGTAAAATATATACCTTAGAAACTAATCAGTGTGTGGTGGTCCTGTTCAGAATCCCAAAAATATTGGTTGAGAATAAAAAAAATGGTTGGAAGAAATTACAAATGAACAGATTGAATTAAAACCAGAATTGTTCTTATTAGGATTATTTCGGGAAAAATATGCTAAAAACGTAAAATATATAATATTACATGTACTGACCGTGGCCAAACTGACATACGCTCAGTGCTGGAAACAGTCCTACACTCCCCCAGAGGAAATGGTAATCCAAAAGATAATGAGTTGTGCAGAAATGGACAAATTAACCTTAGCTTTAAAGGATAAAGAATTATCAGAGTACTGTATGATTTGGGAATATTGGTATGAATGGATTGAGCGAAGACAGGTTACATAGTAAACAGTAAAAGATGATAAGCAATAGTTATAGTAAATATATATTCGCATAACATATTAGTTGTAAATATTGCACAAAATAATGTTACAAATGAAAAACCACAATCTGTCGTTTCTCCTTATAATTTTTCCTTATTTCCAGGTTGAATCTCTCCTTGTTCAGTTTCCATCCTTTATTGTCTGGCCTTCAGGTGCTTTGGAAAATAGCTTGACCCCTTCCTCCCTGTGGCAGCCCCTCAAATATTGGAAGACTGCTATCATGTCTCCCCTGGTCCTTCTCTTTACTAGACTAGCTATGCCCAGTTCCTTCAACCGTTCATCGTATGTTTTAGCCTCCAGTCCCCTAATCATCTTGGTTGGTCTTCTCTGCACTCTTCGAAAGTCTCCACATCTTTTTTATAGTATGGTGATCAAGACTGGATGCAATATTTTGGAAAGATGTGGTGCAGTGGTTCTGTGATAATACCTGCCATCTCCTTTAGAATTCTGGGATGTAATCAGAGGTGGGATTCAGCCGATTCGGACAGGTTCGGGCAAACCAGTTGTTAAAAATCTGTGCAGTTCGGTGAACCGGTAATCCCACCACTGGCTGGCCCCACCCTGCCCATCTTGCCTCTTAAAGTCACTCCTTTTCTCACTTGGTCTGGTTTGGCCGCTTGCTTTGCTTGCCAGCCTTTTCTGGTACCCAGTAGGTAGCCTAGACTCACGCCTGCAGCACAGCTGCTCTCCAGTTCCTTCTTCACTTGCGACTTTGCCCCTGGCCTACCACATGATGCGCGCACTCCAGCTGCTCTCCGGCTCCTTCCCTGCTTGCCTGCCTTCGCCCCTGGCCTACCATGTGACACCCATACACCAGCTGTTCTCTGGCTCCTTCCCCTCTTGCCTGCCTTCACTCCAGCTGCTCTCTGGCTCCTTTCTGGCTTGCCTGCCTTTGCCCAGCTGCTGTCCGGCTCCTTCCCTGCTTGCTTGCCTTCGCCCCTGGTCTACCACATGGTGCCCATGCCCCCACTGCTTTCCAACTCCTTCCCCACTTTTGATTGCCTTCACTCCAGCTGCTCTCCAACTCTTTCCCCACTTGCCTGCCTTCTCCTGCTTTCGCTGCTCACCTGGTAAGTTGTTGTCATATACAGGGACAAAGGGGCCGGGTGGGGCCCTTCCTCCCCTCTCTCTTTTGGGCAGTTGTAGAAAGAAAGGGCTGGGAATTTAAAGTCAGGCTGGGCAGCGGTTCAGCTTTCCCGGCTGGCCCTGCCTCCTGATCCCTGCCTGCCTTTCCCTTCCTGCTGCGGTATCATAAATACTTTGAAACATTGACACCATTTCTTTTTGCAACCAACTTATTTTGCGAGGGTGAAACATCTTGTCTTCTTTTGATAAGTTCAAATATTGCTCTGTAGTCTGTCAATGGTCTATCACTGCCCCAGAGTTTCAATTATCTTTGACCTCAGAAAGTCAATCTGAAAACCATTTACTCAAGATGTTGCTCCTCAGGAAACACAGTAATTATTATTCTTTATGTCCCACAGTTAGTCAATTAGTTCTTTCTAAGTAATCCAGGACGATTTCCAAATGTCTCTTTAAGTCCATTCTATAAGTTCAATGTCCATTCTATAATTTCCTGATATTTGAAAGTCACTTTATTTAGATGTCCCATGTTCTCATTATTAGAGCTCCAGTAGTCATGAAATAGAGAAGTATGAGCAGTAGATGGCACGGCAGTCCTCCAGGTGTTATTTATTTCTACATTCTCTTCTGTCTTCTCAGTATTTTTCCCATGGTTATAGGACTATAATGTCTATTCCATTCACCAGTAAGCGGTGCCTTCAGCTTATCTTTCAACGTTGTACAAAATCTGACAGGTTCCATTGATATTTATTCAAACAATCAAAATTCAGACAAGTAATTCCAGCATTTTAAAATGCCTTATTGCCAATAAAAAATTAGAAATCCAATCTTTCTATGTTTTTCAAGGTTTTGTGTTCTCCTCGTAAAATCACCTGGTTTTGACCTGCCTTGCTTTGTATGGTCAAAATTGAACAGAATTAGGTGTGATACTGGAAGAAGTGCCTCTGCTCTATATCAGCGGGAATGGAAAAATTCCCTTTGTTGCGATTGTGGTGCTGATATGCAAACTATTAAACATATTATGCAAGATTGCCCACGACGTGCATTCTCTGGTTCCCTAGAAGATCTGCAAGAAGCAACTCCAGAGGCAATCGCCTGGATAGCTGAATTGGACATCCAGTTATGAGGCCACTGCAATACCCCCATAGAAGGGTGTGTGTTTTTTACATAGACTGTGTATGTATGTTTACTTCTGTCATGTTCTCATCATAGTAAAAACAACAAGAATATTTTGTTACTTTAGATTTTCATTGGCTATTGGTAAAGGCTTGCTAATTGAACATTATGCTGATGGATTGTTCATTCAAAACCTTACTAAATTCTTTAATCCTATGCTACTTATTTACTTACTCTTGTACCTGAAGTCTTCTGTTGCACAATAGATGTTATTTTTTTATTACCCCATCCTTTTCCTAGATCAGTCACTTATTTTATCTGGCATCTCAGAAGACTTTTTTTTAAAAACATAAAATTTGAGAATTAAATTTAAAAATACGCACTTATCACTGATACATACCAAAGCTAATAAAAAATAACTAGACATCCTATGCCCAGTTAGATCATCTTTTCAAAAATACTTCCTTACCAAAACAGAATGATTATAGGTGGCAAAAATGCAGTGGGAGCAAGAGCAACATTTGACTTCCTTGAATTTCATTAGGGAAATCTTCCTTCGTTCGTTCGTTCCTTCCTTCCTTCCTTCCTTTCTTCCTTCCTTCCTTCCTTCCTTCCTTCCTCCCTCCCTCCCTCCCTCCCCTCTCCCTCCTCCCTCTGAGAGATAAAAAATTGGGGAGAGGGGATCAAAAAGAAAAAAAAGTTAAAAATTGACAAGAAAAAACTTAAAGAAAATAGTTCATACAAATATAAAGTAAAATAACCTTATTTTGTTCAAACAAAAGCATAAACATTTAAAATATCAAATTAAGCAATCAAAATAATGTAGAATTATATAGCAAAATAATCTTACTCTAAGTTTTAACATATAAAAGAATATACAGTATAATGTAGGTTTCTAGTAATAAGATAAATACACAATATTTCTATAATCATAGCAGATCTGATCATTGAAGCCTAAGAACAAAACATTTTTTTTAAAGAAGAATTCTGAAAGTGTTCTCTAAGGAGAAACAAAGCTAGGTTTCATCAAAGTATTTATCATTTCTACAAATTCTATTAATTTCACAATCCACACTTCAATTGTGGAAATTTGTGTATTTTTCCACCTCTGTGTAAGTCTCTCCATTATTTTCATATGTATAAACAGAATCCCATGATTTCTTCCTATTTGATTAATTGATACCTAACAGAAAGACTTCTGGTTTCAATTTTACATTCATTTTTAGTATTTTTGCAATCAAACATATCTTATGGCAGCATTTCTTGGAGTCTTAAATATCCACCAAAGATTATAAAAAGTATTTTCATATTGATTACATTTCAGCACATACACAAAGTTGTATAAGGGAAGATCAGCAGTGGTAAACTGCTGCCAGTTCGGGCCGGCTTGCCTGTACCGGTAGTTATGACCACTGGTTGGGCCCACCCCCCCCCCCAGGGGCGCCCCTGTCCTATATATCTCACCTTTTTGCTCGCGCGCCCCGCCCTTGCAGCCCAGCTGCTTTCTGCGCCTCGCCTGATTTATTTATCCTGGCTGCCGCAGGCAGGAAATTCCCTTGGTTTTGCAGCCGCGTGAAGGGGGCATGCGTGCAAACGCTCACATTTTCAGCGAACCAGTTGTTAATGTATGTGCAGCCCACCTCTGAAGATCAGGTATCTTCACTTATACATCTTTGACAATTTCTCAGGAGTTAAATACCAAGAATACGTCATTTTATAAAAAACAGTTCTATCAAATCATTTTTCAATGAAAATTTCAAGCCATTAATCCAGAATTTTTTCCCATTGATCAAGCATTATATAGACCTTTTTTGACCATTTAATCATACATTCTTTAACTTATACATCCTCCTGGTTCATTTTCAAGAATAGCTTATATACCATGGCAATGAAATGTTCGTCATTAGTACATAAGTGCCTTTCAAAGTCTGTTTCTTCATCTACAAAAACAAAACTCTTTTCATTCAGTTTCAATATTTCTGGAAAGATCATTGACAAATACAACGTTAGATTTTCTGTGCCCAATCCATGAAACTCTCTCTTGTTCCTTCTGCAGTGATAAACAGCATCAAGCATTTACTGAATGCAAGAATGCACCTTTTTTAACTATTGATTTTCTTCATTTACTCTTAAGCACAAGAGTCTATCAGAATTACTTAAAATTAATAGCTTATCTTTCCCCTATTCATCTCTTAGGAAAAAATAAACCTGTTTAAAGATGCAGGTAATAGAACCAGGACAAGCAGGCTTCTATTTGGCATCTTCAGAGAAAAAGAATGTTAGAAGGGATTTATCTTCCTCCACAGATCGTGTGGGATATACTGAGTAGTAATGGTAGTCTTTGTCCACATATTCATCTAAGAGTTTTGGAAATAAATTATTCTAACTTAAATTCCTCATATAATGATCAAAAGGAACAAAGAAACAATTACTAATCCATGTAAATGAACTTGGTAAAGAATATCTAGAAATAATAAGTTGAAAAATAAATAACAGCAATAGTATCTGCTATTTATTTATTTGTTTCCTACCTCTATTATTTTTATAACTAACTTAAGGCAGTGAACATATCCAGCACACATTCCTCTTCCTATTTTACTAGTTTTTCCTCCTATCCTGTGAGATGAATTGGGCTGAGAGAGAATGACTAACTCAAGGTCACTCACCTGGCTTTCATGCCTAAGATGGGACTTAAGCTTGTTCGTACAACCAATGTGATGATGTGGAGTATCAGTCCTGTTCCAGTCAGATCTCTTAGGAAAGAAAGGCTCTCAATTCCATTTGGTTGAAGTGATATATTCTTTTACTAAAGGTTGCTAGCTGCAGTAAAATCAGGCTAGAAATAAGGTTCCCACCCAAAAGGTTACAAATTTTCCTCTCTCAACCCAGCACTCCCTCCAACCATTTTTTGGTCAATGAAGAGCTGCATAGGTGTTGTGAGAATCGCTTAGATCAGACCAGGGCGAGCACCAAACCCTTATCCACAAGAGGAATCTTGCCATCCCTTTCAGGCCACACAGGACTCCAGATGGCAGCTCAGGCTGCCTGGAGCCCTGGGCAGTGGAGAGCAAGTGCCCAGCCCTGCCAAACCTAAGGGGCTCCCCAGCTGCATTTACCTGCTTCTCAAGGCTGCTGCTGCTGTGCTTGTTCTCCTTGGTCAGGTTGCTCATGTTGTGTGTGGGAGGGCAATGGTAAGAGGGAGGCCCACTCCCTGTCCTTGTGAGGAGACCCAGCTTTGTAACCAAAGCATCCTCAGCGATAGGATGGGAGACCACTAGGAGAGGTCAGGAAGGCAGCAGGGCTGCTGATGGCCAAGTGCTAAGGCAGGACTTTCCTCAGACCCTCCCATTATAATTTCCTTCCTTTCCTTCATCTCTTTTCTTCTTTTTCTTTCCCTCTTCATTCTCCTTTCTTCCTTCCTTCCTTCCCCCCTTCTTTTTCCTTCCTTGCTGTCTTCCCCTCTTTCCTTTTTTCTTTATCTTTCCACTTTTCCTTTCTTCTTTCCTGTCCCTTCTTGATGCTCAAATGCAAAAGGAGAAACTTTTCTCGATGCCTCTTTGCTGTGATCAAATGCCAGTTTGCTAGTTGTTTATGGCCATTTAAAAGACTGAGAACAAACCAGGGTCAGTTTATCCCATGCTTGCATTTAGTGGGGGTGTCCACAGACCACAGTACAGCTATGGGTATACAGAGCTCCTCTGTTTTTTATGTGCAACAGCTTTAGCATTTAGGAATGAGGTAAGTTAGTTGCTTTTCTATTAATAC